TTTTTTTTTTTTTTTTTTTTTTACGGAAATGTTGCAAGAGGACCAAGTGTGTGGCCGATACTTTTTTTGATTCGCCGCGTGAATAATGAAAAAGACTGAGATAAAAATACGCGTTGAATTCGGAAAGTATTTACATTTCTAAAGATATTTTTCACTACGTGAATCGCACTAGGAAAATAGAAGGCAGGTAGCACCGGAGTTATGCATTAATTAAACGTTCGATGCACACGAAATCTTTAGAACTGTGAAAAAGCTCGGTAATCCCATAGTTTTCCCGGCGTTCATTCCCTGAGGGCGCAGTGAATAAAGCTAATAGCAGATTCATTGCGTGCCATACATTACAATTTTCCGCGGGACAAGCGGAATGTTTCCTTGCTTCATGAACATTCATTTTTCGAATAATATCGATTCCATTCACGAGAATGAGCTTCGAAACTTTGCGCGGGAATCTGTTCTAGATTTCCATAGTTATCGTTGATTTTTAGATTAAATTTTAAGTTTTAGGATTTTAGTTATCGTTTATTTTGTAGTTAGGTTAGTTTCTTTCTTTTCTTTTTTTTTTTTTTAGGTTAGTTTCCATTTTTCTTTTTTTTTTTTCTTAGGTTAGTTTCTAACCTAGAAATTAATTTCTTTCTTCTAACCTAAAAAGTAATTCCTTTTTTCTAAGTTAATTTTTTTTTTCAAAGTGAAAAACCACCTGCTACTAAACCGAATAGCACGTTGTTCGATCTTTTTATCTTTGTTCCGTAAAGAAATTGCAAATAAGATCGCAAAAAATTTATTCGCATCTCTCTTGAACGAATTGTATTTTTTCTTTCGTTTTAGTTCTTTTTTTTTTTGAAGATAAAAAATACGTGATATTAAATCGAGTAACATGTTGATCCATTTCTTCATCTTCGCTCCGTAAAGGAATTACAAATAAAGCCGAAGAAATTTACTCGCATCTCTCTTCGACGAATTGTATCTTTCTTTTAGGTTAGGTTTAGTTCCTTTTATTTTTTTTAGGTTAATTTTTTTTTTCAAAGTGAAAAATTACCTGCTACTAAATCGAATAGCACGTTGTTCGATCTTTTTATCTTTGTTCCGTAAAGAAATTACAAATAAGATCGCAAAAAATTTATTCGCGGCTCTGCCGGACGAAGTGTTACGAAAGTTAACTCGTGTCACTTTGTATTTCGCACTTTAGGTTTTATTTGCGATGGCACACACGCGAAACACCCGACTATGAATATTAAATTCGTTA